CAAAATACTCATTTGCCTAATAATTCTGCACTCCCTGTACAAACTGCCCGAAATGCCCTGACAGTGACATTTCAGGGATTTTGAGTCAGTCTGCGCTCCAGATGGGTTAATTTCAATAAAAATGTTAACTGCGTTGCTCATGACGATGGATTAATGCGCATTAATGCGTTAACGTTGACAGCCCCATCATAAACCGTTTGCAACCGGTCAGGGAATTATTTTCTTGTGCCTTTTTCACGTGACCCGTCAGCATCATATGTTCATAATGCCAGACAAGTTAATATCACATGGTTAGCTGTCACGTCACTGTAAAACCTGAAAAGACACCTTACTGATTAAGATCCAATACAGACATTTTTTAACAGAAAGTAACTCTTCTTCCTCTCTCAAGCAAAACATTGAATCCAACTTTTGCTCATTTCATTACTCATAAGTTTTCCACCATAGTGGTAGCTTATAGCGCCTACTGCTAGCTAGTGTTAGCAAACTTTAGACATTGACATGTAAGTTGTACTTCATTTGTGACATGCAGAAATTTTATGTAAACACAGCACAGCCAAATTACATAAAAAACCCAATCTAATGCAGTAACATTATACTAACTGTGTCTGCTCAGATTAACATTCGCTGTCATTAGCATCCAGTCAAACCAGGCCAAGTGAGGCTTCATAGGAAAACCTGAAAACCTAGAGAATGTGCTTTGTAGGTGTGGTGGAATTAAGGCACGACGGGACCACAGAGCCATGTTTTGAGCCATCTTTATTTAACATTTGCATCACACCACCACAACCGCACACCAACCACTGAGTCCCCGTGTTTTGACACGGCGGGCGTGATTGCGGATGCCGTGCAGGTGCGTCCGCGCGGCACCGCAGACCACGCCCCACCACACAAGGTAATAAATTCAGTGCTTCGTATATAAAGGAAAATATGCATAGTATGTGTGTGTTGTTTTTTTGTTTTTTTTTAAAAAGAATTCACTAAATAGCTTGTATTTTATTTACTAAGCTTTCTCCTAGTTTGTGTTAGAGTTTCCCTAAATTGCTAAAACACCAAATTCTACTCTTTGCCATGAGAACCAACATGCTGAACGTACTGAACGTACATTCTTTTAGGACATAATTTGCA